AACGTCTATTCCAGAAACAATTCTCGAACCTTCCACAGCACTGCACAAAGTTCAGAGCAACGGTAGAAAACGCTGCACGCACGCGTACTGTACAAATGGAGGCTAAACCACTGTGCTGCCTTTATGTAGTGCCGTAGGTTAAACTCAACATTGTTCCTCCGTCTCTCTTTCTTACCGGAAGGTAAACAAAAGATTCCAACGAACAATCTAACGTATCAACTGTATCAAATACTTCGCTGAACATTTGGGCCATACTCTATTTACAGAGTGACGACACCCACTGGGCCGTCTACATAACCTCGAAGTCTGGACAACGCCGACACCACCTGGCAGCAATGCCCGAAGAATCCGCAGGATGACATCATCGACTAAACTCGCAGCCAATAGCGCCATTGTGTGACAAACCTGTAATTCTGTCCTTGGCGCGAAGAACACATGGTTCGGCCGATCCTGCCTTCCCAAACAGTGTTTTGTTGCTACTTAAGTTTTAGGAGAGAATCAACCAGGTCTCTTGATTCTTAGGTATTACAACCCTGTATAAAACACAAGTCCTTAAGGAGAAGGATGGTGTTGTATACCTACTTGTGATTTGTTACGGCTCAAATAATGAGTAGCACCAGTAGAGTCAAACCCAGTCAAGCAACGTCTGCCACGCCCGTCCTTCCTTGTTGTTTGCCATATCATCATCTTTAGAACATCGCAACAGGCCTCCGGTTTGGCCATTGGCATTTCAACTGCTAAGCTGAAAACATGAAGTCATCAACGTTTCTGCTGCAGCAAGGCCAAATAACCCGCAGTATACTATTGTCAAAACTGTCAAGCGTGGAAATAACCAGAAACAAATGTAACGACATTCTCTCTAAGAGCAGCAGCTAGGCTTGTCCAATTAAAGTTGGCAATGCCCTGCTCCCCGTGCATGTTTACGAACCAATGCGGTACTTTGGGGACGAATTTCAGTCTCGTTCTGATTGGGCAACTGGCGTCTGAAGCCCTTCTGCAGAGTCCTCGGGCAGCCGCGTCCACTAGGTGCGCGTTCAAGGCCATACTCCGCGTCTTGGCGATTTGTACGTTTGAGTGGGGAGGTGGCTGCATGGCGGCCATGGCTCCGCGCCACATTGACTGCAGACGACCTTGTGGTTCACGTTGTCTGTGCTATTGCTCTTACAACCATCATGTCAGCTTCCGTTCACGTTTCACGTTCTTGAACATGATGAATGACCACTGCCTCCAAACCGCAGCACCGTATAGGCCGTACTGGCTGCACTTCTCTAATACGCTGAACCAAGACGTGACAAGGGTGATAACTTTATGACTCCTTCGGGCTCGCAACTGTAAACTTCGTGCCTGTATACTGACAAATATTCTTCAGTGCGGTAGGATTGTCGTCGGCTGTTGAATTGATTGTTTTTTGTTTGTATCAGATTATGCAGGATATTTTGTGCATTTTGTATAACATTAAGGGTTTGTCCAAACTTCCGTAATAACTCTTTTGTCTCTTGTACAAATTCTCACCTACGTTATGGCGTAGGTTAAGTATTTATGCTCATGTAAAGTTCACGGAACGGTCACGGGAAGAAAACCTCAAGGGCTTCCTTGGATAATATTTGTAAAATTGATGTTATTAAAGCTTATTGGCCTTACTTATGCCGTCAAATACTGTTCAAGTCTACACAAAGTGCTGGTGTGTAGTTCTTGTTAAGACGGCATAAACGACATTCTTCAAACTCGATGATTATTGCTTCTAAACAGTTCAGCCCTGTCCGCGTAAAACAGATAATGAAGCCCAATGAAAACAATTTCGCTCTAAATATTACTATAGTTCTTGTTTATTGCACCGTCCGCCAATAAAAAAAAAAAAATCAACGACGTCCTTTTTAGCAGCAAAATTGAAGGAAGATTTGCTCAAAGACACATTTTTAAAACTGATTTGCTCAAACACTACGTTAGTTGTTTCTAAAACTCAGGACTCCTTTTCGAGAAGCTAGGCTAAAGCAACCAAGCAAACATTAGAAGTCCACTTTTAATTAATTTTTAAAAATCATAAAACTATATTTTGAGAAATCCTATCAAAAATACGTAGCTTATTTTTTAATAGCATAAAATGCTTGTATCAAGCTTTCTTCGAACATTTATTTCGAACTGCAACGTCCACAAAGCGACGCCTCAAGAGAAGCAAATGGCCGACGAACTAGAGAACAGACAGTGCCGGGAGTGGTGCAGACGACATACAGACAAAGCGTAGCTATAGCAGATGACACGTAGATTTTAAGGCAGGCAAGTGCCTCGTGTTAGTGATTTCACGAGTCCATATCAAAATTTTGTCAAAGTGAAGCAGCGACAGCAACAATCGGGTTGGCAACGTACCATGAACCGTACCCAGTCATCTGCAGTCGGCGGCCACGAAGCCTGGCTACCCGTTTATGCCACCACCAAGCTTTAGGTCTAAGCATCTACGGTGAAGGAGCTACGTCTTGTGCACAGCCAAGGAGAACGTAACACTGTTTTTTGTTTTGTTTTACGCTTTACGGGCGACATGATCACCGTGGATGTAAAGCGGCGCTACTGACGTTCACACTTCCGGTTGGGTTGTGCTTGAAGCCGCGCTGCTCAGTCCGTCACACAGCGCACACGGTTCTCACACACTTGCCCTGGCTGAGTCTTTCTGTAACGCGCATGCGCATGCGTCAATAATGTCACCTTCCTTCGTTATAGAATGACGTAACAAAGTATAACATGAGTGTTTGTGTGTGTTGCACCGGTGTTGTTCATTGCCTTCGTGTTAGCGTTGAAAGACTTAGGTTGATTACGTGTGCAAAGTTGAACCTATAGAGAATAAAAGGGGTTGGATAGCAACAAAATGATTCAAACAGATTCCATAAAAATTGCAATATCCGCGTTAGCCTTTTACGAGTAGCATGGTAACGTTGTCCCTTGTCTTTTGAGGATATCCAGTCACGACAATTACTAACTTTCATCAAGGCAAGATCGAATGGCCGCAGAAATGAATAAAAAAATAAAAACAAAAAAGGGGAAAAAAAAAGAAAAGCTACTTTTTGGGATAAAAAAATGAAAACTGATTTTTCTTCGTCCACGTCATTAAAAAGAAACATTGAATTTTACGAATTTCGTATGTTTCTAATTTGGCGCGTTGTGCAAATATGGTGCGATTGAGGTAAAATAATTGAACGTGGGCTTTGCTGTAACACTGGAGTTTTTTCATAATCGTTGTTTATAAAATAAAAGAACGAATAAGTTTGCTCAGAATGGCAGACGGTGTAATAACTGTGTTTTCCCGCGGCAAGTGTTTCCCACTGAAACAAGTGAAACATGACATTAAGTTAGTGAAAATCAATTGTGAAAAGTAAAACGACATTTTCTTTTCAATTTGGATGTTACGATTTCATGTATCGGCTAATTGTATCATTAAGCAACAACGTTATGAGTATACCAACAAAGACTAACTTGTGTATATATATCTGTGGTCATCTATCATTCTTAACACAGTCAGAATTGTAAACAAACGTAGGCAACGCATGTCCTTTTTTGCCGGAACCAGTGGAACGGTTCAATTCAGTCATGGAGACCTCAGCCGCAGCACAAACGACGGATCCTAGTTTTGCATCCCCTAAGAAAAACAAATTAAACATTTACAAGAAAGAAGAAAAAGCAGCAATAACATTGTCTTGGAGACACGTTCTTGAAGATTGTGAACGTCCGTTGGTTCGCCCTTGAGCACAAGTCAGAGTCGAACTGATTTCTTCAACGTTTTCTTTTTGTCAGCTATAAGAAATTAAGTAACGGTGGCGTAGAAAGAAGCACGGCATTTGGTGCGCAGCATTTCTTGCCCATTGCGTCGACAACAACGCTTGCGTATTATTGTCTCTGTGATACGAGATCGAGTTACTTTGCAAAAACCTGCGGCTGCTTGCACAGTACAAGGTGACGGCCAAGTCATCTTGACGACGATATCATCGCGTCAACCTGCATTTGAAATCGACTCTATCGTCCGATTTCTATCGCTTCTGAACTCCGGGTGCATCGCGTCCTCGTTGTGTCACCGGCTGAAAACGGTTCTAGTTTTGAAGCGAGTTATCTTGGAACGCGGACTCGACCATCCTGGGGTCTTCCACAAAGCCAGCAGAGGGACATCGATGGTTCTTGGTCGAACCGTCTTTACGCTGGGCCCTGTACTCTTTCCTAATCTTGCCTTCGTATAAAGGGTTAGGGAGTACCATCGTTTGTTCACAGAGACGACTGGCCCTACTTATAGTGCAGTAACCTATACGACCACCATCTGTTATTTCGCCCCTGTGCTTCAGGACACTTCTTGAAACAGTGAACTTGAGAGGCGTCGCACGCTGCTTGTAAATTATTTTTCTTTTTGATTTCGTAGAATAGGGCCTGAGGATGATCCGTGATGTCCCTCTCTGTACCTTCTCTTGCTTGAACTGTTGACCTGGTCAGTCGGCGCAGCCCGAACCGTCACCACATCGGGTTGTCTTTTGGTTATTGTCGAACGAACCCGACGGCGGGCACTTTTGCCGAGTGTGCTTGTTTTTGCATATCATTTCGCCACCGCATGCGAGACTGTCCCACGACACGTGCTGGCGATGGCTTCCTCTCCTCCCGCGCACGTCTACACAGTATAACGGTTGAGCTACTTTCGGGTTCCCCGACATCGGAGGAAGGAGAAACCCGCCCTAACAAAACCTAAACCCAATGTCCCTCGTCGGTGCCGACCATAGGACTTAGCGTGGCAAGGCATCCACCCCTCGGCACTGAGGCGATGACGCTGTCGGCCTTAAAAAAACTTTGCCTTCGCTCGTTGCGCCTACACGACGGACGCTCCAGGGGATACCAACCTCCTGACAGGAAGGTGACTCGGTGACACGCTTCTGAGGAGTGGCGAGTCACGTCATCGACGGTGTCACGTGACGGATTCGTCGATATCGAGTGAGTGGTTTAGGTCCCGGATGTGCTCTTTAAGCGCTGAGCATTCCTCATAAGTACTCGACTATATCACACTTGATGGAGGGGTAGCTGGAGTACAGCGCCGTCCGGTCTTGTACTAGGCGGCTGAAGAGCGGCAGGAAGGGTAGCAGCGGCGTCTGCGAACCCGTCGCGGCCCTGCCGTCTCCGGAGTCGTGTTCGATGAGCGACACGACCGCTGGGGAGTCGCGGGACGTGCCCCCGGGGCCCCGGAGAGTTCCCAGGCTCTTGGCACGCCGTCGCACGCTCATCTGCTGGGGACTTGCCAGGGTGTCCGCTGCAAACAGGGGCACGGGACAGTTAGCTTATACGCTTCTCTTTGTCCACTCAACTTTAAGCAGGAGTGGACTTTTGGGTCAGGCTTGAGCGGGAGGGGGCATCAATGCGTTGCCCAGATCTATTTTACTGACCTAATAATTGACTTTTCACTTAGAACAAAGCATTTCTTTCTTGAAAAGGCTGGTGTATGTCGTTTTTTTTTTTTATAAACAAGTTGCCCTTGGGGCTTAGGTGTTGGCCACCCCCCGCCCACCCTCATTCCCCCTTAAATTCTCTCCTAACTTGTATCAAGAGAAACTTCGAGTAACTGCACCTCTTCTGTATTTCTCTCTTTTCCTCGTTTAGCATTGCGCGAAAGGTAATTTCACTTTTTCGACACAGCGACAGCATATACCTGCCGTGGGGCCTGAGAATGGCAGTCCCGACGTTTCACTAAGAGACCGAACCTATTCAGCAGCTTATAAAAAGGCATCTTGAATGACTTCGGGATTAACGGGGTGAATAGTTTCATGGAGTTTTTTTCACAGGCTTATCTTACTTTCTTGCTTTCTTTGTATTTTCTACTCCTCTTTAACCTCTCTAAGACATCAGGAGCGATGTTATATGGGTGTAATCGAATCGGCTACATTGTGCGTTGTGTGGTTTAGTTCTTAACTCGCCAAATAAAAATGTACTTTAAGCTAAAGGCAAGAATTCGCAATTAGACACTAGGGAATGTCCCTTAAATATAATAAGCGTTCACAAGTGAAAAGAAAATCATTAAGCCCAAGTCACATTGCTCATACATCACACAAAATACATGGCGTTAGCTGCAAGGATGACGGCAGAATTATCTGCGGAAACGCCTCAAGCAAGTTTGAAGCATGTGTGCTACTTACATACCTGGAACATGTCTGGAGACAGTATGACAAGTGTGACAAGACCGTCGAAAGAAACACGTCTCAGACAGTGTCTGAAGACTGCCTTGTTTATGATGTATTAACAGTGTGACCGCTGCCTTAAAAGTGCTGGAGGATGCGGTAGCGTGAAGCGTGTCATATAGGCCACACACAGCATAGTGACGGAAACAGTGTTAGAGGTGGCAAGTTAACGAGACAATTTGCAGCAAGGTGTTGTTGCAGAGCTGCAAAAGGAGCCGAAAATGATGGAATGTGCTTTTGTAGAGATATCACAGTGTATTCTCCAAGCCCCCTTTTAATGTGAAGCATCAGCCGGTTTCGAAGAATCGTACGAAACCTGCATACAGCAAAGGCCAAGCGACCTCTTCCGCAGCAGAACCTAGAACACAATGTCCTGAACGGCGGTATTAATGTGTCTTGATAGATTTACATTATGCCAGCTTAGCGGGAAGAACCCGTAGATAAGAAATGAAGGCCACAGAGTCACAGTCTCCGAACCATTTGTTTAAAGGCATGCCCAGGTTTCTTTGTTAATTATTGAAGACAGTCAGTTATTTCAGTGACTCGGGGTAAGGTGCAAAACAAGTACGTGTGTAATGCTTCCACGAGAAAAAAACAGACGTAGCTTTTAGAAAACCAACCATCAGCAAGTTGTTTTATTTATATTCTTTATAGGCGAGAGAAATGTGATTGATTAAATAAATGGTTCCTGAAAATACGATATTAATTCAGAAAAAAATAATATGAGAAAATATACCTAGTTACGTAGTATTTGCAAATGGCCACTGAGTTTCAACTATGACCAGGTTCTGGCTCGTCCAATGACAGCCCGAACGCAGCATAAAAGCAAAGGGAAGCCACAGTGTGGATGCAGACATGAAAATGGGAGGCAGGAAAGCACGTGTCCAGAGGCGCTGTGATGTTTGAGTGCGGGGTGTGATTTTGCGAAGCGAACGGCAGCACGAAATGCACCAGGCAGTTTGCGTGAGAGACTCGTTCATAGGAAAGGAAAAGCGATGCTGCCAAGTCTCGCCAAGTCACAGCGATTGAACCGTCTGGACTTACACTCGTCCGATTGGAAGTCTGCATAGTCTTGTTCAGCCAGAGCGAGCAGAGGCGACATCTCTGGGAGGAAACAGTCGACGTCATTGGAACCGTGAAGAGCCACGAGGGCCATTCACGTTTCAGGATCGTGGAAGGACGTACAAGTATAGACCAACGAACCAAGCACATTGTCAGTGCTTTTGCTCACTGACGGAAGATTCAGTGAGTGAAAAGGCTCAAAATTTTATTTTTGTTTGTGATTTTGGGAGCTCTAGAGGTATTCGGTGTTCAGCCGCCTATAAACTAAGTAAAAAAAAACAAAAAACAACAGAAAAAAAAAAGAGCAATAAATTAGGTAAAAGCTGTAGCTTCCTCTACAGATAATAAGCGAAACACTTAGGCACCTATCGTGACGTGGTACCCGCTTTCGAGTGTCCTCCTGAAAAAAAGGGTGGCGCTAGGGTTTGTTAAAATAGTTTGTTGGTGGGCGAGTTGGTGAACGTTTGGATACATGGTTTTGCGCAAAAAAGACGGACAGAAGAGAGAGGAACAAACACGAGCGCAAAACACGAGTTTGTTCTATCCCCCTACTATTAAAAAAAAAAAAAAGAAACAGAAGACAAAAAGAAAAAAAATGGCAGCGACCTTTGCCTTTAAAGTTCTATACAGGGTGAAACAAGGAGACGCCAGGCTCCTTAAATCGACCGGAAAATTCGGTTTCTTAACCTATCACGCTACGACTTTGTGCAGCGTTGCCCACAGATGGTGCTTTTTTTTTTTTGTAAATTTTGCAAAGAGCGAACTTACCCGAGGAACTTACCCGGGGTTGTTTGGTGGCAGCGACGCCACCAAACAACACGGCGCCGTTTCGCACGGGAGACAAGAGATGGCGCAACAAACGCCGCCAACGAACGAGCATACGGCGCCGAGAGCAGGCCTTTTTAGCAGACAATCTTTTCGACTCAAAAGCGGTGCGCGTTCCGCAGGCGGCGACAGTCGCAGAAACAAAAAAGAAAGGCGCGGTAACAGCAAGGAACTGCAGTTCCTTGTCTGCAAAAGGGCCAGCTCTCTGCGTCGTCTGCTCGTTCGTTGGCGGCAGTTGGCGTCGCGACCGCTTGCGCCATCTCTTGTCTCCCGTGCGAAACGGCGCCGTGTTGTTTGCAGACCGGTGGCGTTGCTGCGTTTCCATAGGAGCTAAGCCTTTTTCTTTCTTTACTTTTTCCTCGGGTAAGTTCGCTCTTGGCAAATTTTACAAAAAAAAAAAAAAAATCCACCATCTTTGGGCAACGCTGCACAAGGTCGTAGTGCGATAGGTTAAGAAACCGAATTTTCCGGTCGATTTAAAGAGCCTGGCGTCTCCTTGTTTCACCCTGTAGATCAATTCAACTCACTGACGTCACACTCCTCCCAAATTTGGTTTCTGCGCACGTGCGGTGCCCACACCTGGTGTGGGCAAAGCGGGCTTGTTCGGAAACATTTTTTTGGTGTATAATGCATAATGCATAACATACATTACAGGGAATCGGTGAGGAAATTGGCATGTCACGTTAGGCATATTTTTTCGATAAATTTAGCTGGGAAACTGCATGGTTGTATAGGTCACGTGACGTCAATTTTTCCCGCTAAATTTAGCGTGGAAACTGGATTGTTGTTTAGGTCACAAGACGTGAATTTTCCCGCTAAATGTAGCGGGAAAACTAAGTTGACGTATAGGTCACGTGCTGTAAATTTCGTTAACGTGTATAGGCCACGTGACGTCAGGTGATGCCAGGGCACGCCACTTTCTCGCCAAATGTAGCGGGGAAACTGAATTGGTGTATAGATCAAGTGACGTCCGTTTTTCCGCTAAATTTAGCGAGGAAAATGAATTGCTCTTTATGTCCCGTGGCGTCAGGTCCCGTGAAATCAATTTTCCCACTAAATTTAGCTGAGTAACTGAATTTGTGTATAGGTCTCGTGATATCAATTTCCCCGCTAAATTTAGCGGGAAATGCATGGACGGACGGACACAATTTTGAGACTGGGGGTAACGTTATAAAGCATTTCATGCTTTACAACGAAACCACTGCTCCTCAACTGCCGTCGCCGCAGTCCCCCCCGAAGAAGAGGCCGCGTCGAGACGTTGGGTCCCTGTAATCAGGGCAGCTGGAACGTTCCCTGGAAAGGCTAGGGGTCGGCTCACCGTCAGAGGAGGAGGACGGCGGCTGGGGCCTGAGCGGCTCGCAGCGGGCCCTGTCCGAGGCGTAGGCGGACAGGCCGTTCACGAGGGGCGTCCTGCGGAAGGGCTCTTCGCTGCCCCCCAGGGCGTGGAACTGGTGCATCGACGGCTGCTGTGTTCTTGCTTGCGACGAAGCCTGGGGCCTGAGCTGCACACTGCCCGAACGCTGCTGGCGCACGGCCCGCACGGCGCCCATGGCCGTCACGGCCGCGCTGCCGGCCAGGGCAGGCGCTGGCGGGCTGCCCTGAAGCGACGCCGTCGAAAGCTTCCTGCGCGCGGACCAGACAAACATCGATGACCCGAGCCTCTAGGTATATCGCGGGCTATCGACCTTTTGGCGAATGGAAGAAGCATCAAAGAGACTGCCGGGAGGCACACGCGCGTCATGTACTGGCGTCTGCAAGAGTTAACTGTTCGGAAGGAGAAACAAATGGCACCTCGCATGGCCATGGCATCTTCCGTATATTTTGCTGCTCTGCGCTATTTCTCATGTACTATCTCCTCTACTGTAATGCCCACTGGGCTAAGTAAGTAATAAATAAATAAATAAATAAATAACAAAATTCCTCAAAGCATCATTTTGGTTATTTACTTCAATTATTTTATACAGGGAAGGCGAGCGCATGCAGCGAATGTACGTTCCCAGGATTCTTTTTGGTGCTTGGGTAGTTTAGCGAAAGGTCTATTTGCAGCCCCTCGGCGCATTTTACGCTGTGTTCCATAACTAGGAGCGCTATATCCGTTATTGTCACTGAAAGCGCATTTAATATATTTACGATTTTACAGATTTAGGTTGTTTTAACTTGACAGAAAGTTATAGCCAATATTCCTTTTTGCCAAATAGTGGCATTTTCCACTGGCGATACGGACCTATGTCATGCAGCATTGGTTCGTATCGGCCAGTGATTTGTAGAATCAGCTTATTATTCCGCCTATTGTAAGCGAAAATGCAGAGATTTTTTGCGGCAACTTTGCATGGATGGCGCCATCTTGCTACCAGGCGATCCCGCCACCATAGCTGACCTCCAGCTTCTCATCTGCGGACTGCGTCTTCAACTGTGCCCGCTACTGCCGGAGTTTTATTTTAATTTCTTTTTTAATTTTCTATTTTCGTTAATATTACGTGGCTTTTATATATAGATGCTAAATATTGCGCCCCGAGTTAATATTTTTTATACATTTTTTAACGTATGTAGTTATATTTTTTATCGAATGGTGTCAGACTGTAAAAGAGTCAGTGACACAAAAATATGACCTGAATATGACGTTATTCTAAACAATAATTGAAAGGTTTGAAAAGTTCCATCAGCTCACCACAATGATTCCGCCGAGTAGCGACACGTGAGCTACTATCAGTTTCCGTATTGATAAAGTGAAATGTAGGCGCTATTTTGGATCAAATTTCTTACATTCGGTTAAAATGTAACAGGATGTAGCGAAGTAAATAAGTTGGCGCAAGGGGCGCAAACATTGCATCATTGTAGTTTGTGCGAATCGTGAGAGCGAGCGGTCATCAAGTCTTTGTCCTAAGGCAGACGAGGAGTCTGCCTGCGCTGTGACAATGTTTACAAAAATGCGGGGTTCGGTTTGTCACATTTTCTCGCACGGCTTAGCCCAATGTGCAAACTGTCAGAGTCACTGCCAGAAGGAGAACGACATGGAGATTTTTTTGTTGTCCCATCTTCACTGGAGGTTTTCTATCTTCGATAACATTTCAGCGTCTAGTGAGCTTCGAGCGTTCTCGCGCGGTCACAGCACGGCGGAAGGCAAGGAGGCTGTGCTTGTGGCCAGAAATACGAAAGAGACGCCCTGCCGCTGTGATCCTAAGTGCACCTACCCCTAAAACTCGCCTGACACCGTTTTGTGTGCATACACAATATTTTGCGCCTGTGGGAATCGCTCGAACCGAAGACGTCCACCCTAAAGGGCGTAGATAGAACACACCGTTCAGCATAAACTGACCCTACGGTAGCATCGAAGTAAATGTACTTCGGTGGTAGAGCTATTGAAGCGTTGAAGCAACCATTGGCAATACCGTCCTTCGGTCTTCTTTTAATTGTGGAATCGGTATATTTAAATTGGCCCTAAACACAGGCAGTCCATGAACATATGCGCTAGTAAGGCACGATAAGTCCACACAAAGCGGTTCTTTACCGTAAGGGGATCGTGGAACGATATGGGTTTGAAGTGTTCATGACCTTACAGAGGCGGACTGGTCCTACTCTGTCCCAACAATACTCGCACGGACCACCACTGATATAAAATTGTCTTTGTCGTGGTGAAATTGCGAGGATAAGATGGGACTATTTCTTTCAGTCTTGCCTTCGCAAAGCTTGATGACGTAATTGTGGGATTGAAACCACCCGCCTGATGACAGTCGAGCGCGGCTTATGGATTGGACACGAGAACTGCGTGAGCGCTCGACTCCGGCTCGGAACAATCAATGCCTCGGCGGACACTTGTGTAGTGGTTCGTGTCCAACCGCTGCGGTGCTGAAAATAGCCGGACTTAGAGTCGCTAAATGAACTGCGCTTAGGGTATCGGCTCTTTGTTCCCCGACATGTTGTGGGCGACGCCATTTTGGTGCTTGTGCAGAGCAGATGCAACTGCCCGAATCAACAGAAGCTGTTTTCGATGTATTTTGAAATCATCGGACGTTGAACCATCGTGCTGTGCCGTCTTTGTCATCTACATAATCAGTGTGCTTTACTGCTAATGCTGATTCATGTGCCTCAACATCACACATACTCAGTACGCCGACGGCAAAATAGTAATATCGTGCTCCAAAACGAACTGCAGAAGTTATGCACATTATGACGTAATGCAATTAGGTAGCAGATATAGGTATCGGACCATATTAAACGACGCGAAGCAAGAAAGCGCCGTGAAACGCGACGAAAAACACGAATCCAACGCGTTCGCCAAGGTGCGAAAGGCAAAGAGGAGCGACGATTTAAAGCGACCTAATGGCGGCCGCTTCACGTGATTCCAAGATGGCAGTGCCCATGCGACTGAGAATAAAAAGTCCTATACGAAACTTGCGTCCGCTGTTCCACGCCTGTAGCGGCGAGCTCAAGAGGCTGAGCTTCATTGCTATTTCCATACATTTCCCGGTGAAGCGGCAGACGAACCGTCAGACGAAGCGGCAGTCATCAAATGGTCGTGCTTCGGCAATGCATACCTTATTTTTATCAGCAAAAAAAAAAAAAAAAAAAAAAAAAAATATATATATATATATATAAAAAATACAAAAAAAACAACTAAAAATTATTAATTTTTTTTCGGGAAAAGGGGGGGGGGGGGGGGGGGGAGACACGCAGTAGATACGGAGAAGAAACGTTTTACATGATCCCGTATTTGGAAAAATATAGGGCAATTCATAATCAATGATTAAAAAAATAAAAGTCGTCTCTTACCTTTTCACCGATTTCTCTAGAAGACTGTCCTCTTCTGTTACGGACCTGATGGACACGATCGAGGTCGTATCTTCTTTGCTATTTTCTGCAACGGGAAAAGATCGAGGCACACGTGATGTCAATGATTGCCGGCAGCAGATAGTATTCTTGGATGTCCATTGTTCCAGGGCAAATAGGAATGACAGGTACCATGCACCTTTGACAATTGACAAATTAAGAATGAAAGTGTATTGCAAGGCACTCCAGGGAAAAAAAAAACAACTTAATTTCCCCCTTTTGTGTACTTAATCGTTTTATGTTTTCAATTTAACTGCACCTGCTCACAGCTCGAAAGGAGCAGGGCGTGTGTTATTGTTTTGCCGGTTCTCGCTTCGTTCTGCGGCATTCTCATTGGCTCAGCCAATATCGGCTACGGAACGATAACAGGATGTCTGGAACCTGCCATGCCCAGTATTTCTTAGGCTATCAATTACTACAGTAGCATCTCCAACACACTCTCTGCTTTCTGTGCACCTTCCCAGCACTTATCACCCAGATTAAGAATACTAATCCACTGGGCTGTGAACGGATGCGCAGCGAGCGATATTCAGTGAGCCACTGCACATGAGCAGAACTTGTTCCACAGCTCAGTAGACACAGATGGCAGTGCACAGAAGGAGGTTGTTGGAATGGTCTATATTCGTCGCTCGCTTCCTGTCTGGTGGCTGATCATTGCTGATAAGGAACGCTGTAATCCAACGGGCCGCAAGGTTTCAGTGCAATGATCCGTGATACAATTGTATTTTCCCTTCAGCTAAATTAGAAGTAAAAGGAGCTATGAAACCTGTGCGCCATTCTGATGCCTCCGGTCCTCGACTTGATTTCCTCCGGTTATGGTGCCTGGAGGGCGTCTCCGACGGGTGTGTATACCGCGATAAAAAAAAAAAAAAGTGGTCCCTCGATTTTCGTCTGATGATGTCGAGGGCCCAACTTCAACCACGCGGAGCTTTCGCAATTTAATGGCGAACGCATCCTGCGAAGACTGGTCGCAAGTGCGCACGGCGTCAAGCCCTGCGCCGTCGCAGGGCGAGGAGGAAAGCAGGGGGAAGGCGGAGGTGTTTGTAGACGAGAAACGCTTTGGCCACCACCTCGCAGCACATATTGCAAATCAAAAGGGTAAAAACAGCCCAAAAAGACACGGATAGGGAAGATGTCTACACACGGAGCGCTGACTTTTAGTTGTTTAATTTCTGAAAAAAGGGGAAACGCCCCTTTATGCACCGCGGTGACGCGCGCGTTGCAATATGTGACGTTTTCCACAATGCACCGCGCGGGAGGGAGGTGGAGGGGGAGACGGAGAGGAAAAAGGAGGAAGGAGGAAGATGATGAGATAGGAGGATGGGGGAGGAGCGGAGGAGGAGGAGGGGAGGAGGATAAAGAAGAGGAGGGGAGGAGGCGGAGAGATCAGGAGGAGGAGGGGGCAGGGAGGAGAATGGGGGAGGAGGGGAAGAGGAGGAGGAGAGGAGGAGGATGATGAGGAGATAGGAGGATGGGGGAGAAGCGGAGGAGGAGGAGTGGAGGAGGATAAAGAAGAGGAGGGGAGGAGGTGGAAAGAACAGGAGGAGGAGGGGGCAGGGAGGAGAATGGGGGAGGAGGGGAAGAGGAGGAGGGGAGGAGGAGAGGAGGAGGATGATGATGAGGAGAGAGGAGGATGGGGAGGAGCGGAGGAGCAGGAGTGGAGGAGGATAAAGAGGGGGGAGGAGGTAGAGAGAAGAGGAGGAGGAGGGCAAAGAGGAGAATGGGGGAGGAGGGGAAAAGGAGGAGGGGAGGAGGAGAGGAGGAGGAGGATGATGAGGAGAGAGGAGGATGGGGAGGAGTGGATGAGGAGGAGAGGGTACGGATGAGGAGGAGGCACATACCGTCCCCTCCGTACCCTCCTCTCCTCCTCAAGAGCTGCGCTCTAATTCGGCACTACAGGGAGTTGTAAACGTCTTTCATATTTTTTTTAAACTTTTCAGAGCAGAATTTTATCGATGCTAACTTTGAGGCTTGGGCGAGTTGGTACCATACTTCGGAATTAAAAACAGCACGAAAAGACGAGGACCAGACAGCGCTGCGTCCGTGTGATTTCTCCGTCTGGTCCTCGTCTTTTCGCGCTGTTTTTAATTCCGAAGAATTTTATCCCTTTGACAGTCATCGCCGCACATGTAAGACGGCGATCACACATTTCACAGAGGTCACCTAATCGCGAAACCGCGCGTACCGCAGGAGGTGTTGCTTTTTGTTATGTCTTTGGCGAACTATGAACGTTTTATGCGTACGGTGTTTCGATTTCCTGGGGCTATTTATAGTTTTGAAATTAGAGGCTCTGCACATGGGATACACGCGAGATGGTCGCTTCGCATACCGGTTGCCCTGGCGGTAGTGGCAATTGGAACACCGGCTTTTCCGATTCAGACTTCTAATGCTTCTCGGAGTGAACCAGTCTTGAGTAGTAACGCGTTACTAGTAACGCGTTACTGTAATTTCGTTACGTTTTTTGTCACTTGTAACTGTAACGAGTTACTTTTTAAAAACGTAGTTTGTACTGTAGTTCTATTACTTTTTTCAGAGGTAACCATGAAAGTAACTACGTTACTTTTGTCGTTACTTTTTAGTTTTTTTAAGAATAATATATCATTGAACACGTACAATCTAACTATTTTTTGCACTTTCCAAATTGCCTGTTTGGATATTGCGAGTGTCAAGTTGGCCTTGCACAAACTTGTGAACACGTTCTTCCTCGCGAGTCACGACCCGAATATAGCCACGTGTAGATGTGATAAAAAAATTCTAGTTATGTTTTGCACGCGTTTGTACTTTGTGGCAGAACACTTACATCTTAGTATATCTTGAAGCCCTATCTTTGTCGAGGTTGTTATTTTTTTTTTTGTGCAAACGCTTTTTATTCGGGTGAATCAACCGTGAAACAACAATACACACGGAGGGCACTGCGAATGTTTCGTATTTTGATTAGCACCACTACTCCGGCGTGGTGTCAACAGCCGAGGCAATATTTACTGCTGTTTGCGCGGGGCTTTCTCGTTGCTCCGGTTGCGCGGGGCCTGTTCAGCAAGGGCAGGGACCTGCTCGCCATCAAACGAGGGAAACTTTCAGCCACTATTTCCAAAAAGTAACTGCTGCGAAGTTACAATATAAGCTAAAAAGCATACTTTTTAATATTATGCAATAAAACTTGGTGAGGGGCGTTTTCTAGTTTTTTCTAATTTTTTTTTGTGCTATAGAAAAGTAACTGAAAAGTAACGTCGTTACTTTTCAAAGTGACTGTCACGAGTTACTTTTTTGTTGCAGTAACTGTAACGGTAACTTCGCTACTTTTTTGCTGAAAGTAACTGTAACTGTTAGAAATTACTTTTTAAAAGTAACTTACCCATGTCTGGAGTGAACTCAGAGGATGAGAGCTTACCATCCAGTGGAGCTCTATCACAGCCGGACAAGAAGCGTGAGCTCTCTTTCTCTTCTTACGGCCTTTGCAATTGGGGCAATCGCCGCCTTCCGCCGCAATTAGCGGGGGGCGCTGTCACCTCACCCCTGGGCTACCCTTTGTCGTTTGCACAAAGCGCGTCTGACAGTGTATCTCAACGCTGTCGCAACTTGTGGCCGAGATTTTTATAGCCTTTGACAGCTGATCCTTACGTTTAGACCCTCAGCCAGTATCTAATGCGCTTCTGATGAGCCCGAAACGGTGAATATTTGACGCGCATCTGCGAGATATTCTGGAGTAAAAAGTAGTAAGTAGAGACAGCGAATGCAATTGCGGAAAAACTATACTCGTCCATACCTCCAGGACTTCTGTTGCAACTCAAGAACAGGAGGAGACGGACTCTTTCTACTTGGAGGAACTTTACATGATAAATAATTCGTACACTCTCGTGAAATGTAAGCAGGCCCAATCTATCTATTGCCGTGGTCTGCATCATCACTTCATAGGCCGCACATGAAGTCGGTCCGCTGCTCTAGACGAGGGTGTAGTAAGTAGTCTGTGCAATTTTCACACAGTGCATATTACAGCCTAAAGTGCTTCCTCGAGGGCTTGTGGACATATCCAGCTGATTTTTCGTTTCTGTCCGTGACTGTCGTTGCATGGGTAATCAGAAGTATTCCGAGGAACCGTTGCCAAAACAACAACCTACGAACTCGAACACCAGCGGAAAGCAGCTCGAGGGGACTCTCCGAGTGGGGTGAAGTGGGGTGAGGTGGTTGCGCCCCTGGCGGCAAGCAAGAGAACTACACACGGAGAAAAAATGCCATTGGATCCCGGGCGATTGCAAAGGCCGTAAGAAGAGAAAGAGAGCGCGCGCTTCCAGTCCGGCCGTGGCTCTATAGACGCTTTGCAGCAGCTGTGCATGGACGCCGCCATAGCTGACCTTCAGTTTCTGTTTCCTCTTATTTCGTTTATTTCACTTCATCATTACCATAGCAGGCCAGGTTATGGCCATATTAGATTCAACTGTGTCCTTTTCTAAAGCATCGGCCTTTGTAGAGGATCGTCAACTACCGTTTCAGTTGCTCGGCATCTCGGTAAGACAAGAGAAGGTCAGCAATGGCGGCTGTAATTTGGCGCGTGTGTAAAGCGTCTATAAACCACCCCGGTTCGAAATTTAAAACCACCGCAATGCCGGCGGTAGCGGGCGCATCCCAAAGAAACCGAATTGAAGAAAGGTGACAACTTTTCACCTTCAATAGTTCGGTTTAACGCTCTTATACCTTAACAGCTTGCAAGCACTGCACGAGCTCCCTCTAGAGCATTAAGAAAAAAAAAATCCAGTGAATTTTCTTTGTTCATAATATTTCTTTGGAAACAAAACTGAAACCCAGGGAAACAATGTTGGCGAATAAAGCTCGATCTTTAAAGGTCTAGTAGACAACTGGTTCTACTTGATCATGATGTAGTATACACCAGACTGTGGTAAAAGCTTGGGAAACTTTATTGAAGAAAAATGACAAGGGGAAAGAACGTCTGAGACATACTTTTTCCCGGTCTTTTTTTTTCGACCAAGTTTCCCAGCTTTTACCACAGTGTCGGGTATTCTACATCAGGATCAACTTCTACCAGCGCGCCTGCGCACTCATTGTTTTTTCATTGGTTCTACTTGAAAGGGCGTCACCACATCGGTTCTCACTGATTAGTAACTACCCCTAGTCGTCATGACAGTAACGGAGTCCTTCCCTCTGTTACATATTGTCGAAATCGGTAACACCTTTACTCTTCCCGTTATGATGCAGTTACAGAAAACGAAAATGAACTCTACCGAAATTCGTTCCCTTTTTGTTTTGTTTGGAAGCTTACTTGCATTAGGAATGTTGCCAGTCATACGGACGTCGTCGTCGTGCCATTCCGGCACTTTTGAGGAGATAATAAATGCTGGTATTACTTTAGGTAACTACTTCACATACCATGAATTGCACTATTCCTGGTACTATTTCAAAACAAACAATACAAATCAGCAGTTGTTTAGAGAGCGTGAGTTCAGTCTGCCAGAGTATGGCGATATTGTTACATACTGTAGGAAAGAAATTTATCCAGTGAAGATCCCAGGCTCATAGCCTCAAGTCCTTAACGTGCATCACGCAGTAGTGATACACGACCGTACGCCTGTACGATGCTCATCCAGATTAAAACGGGCAGGGGTGAGAATTGAGCCCAGGAGCACGTGTGCTTTTGCTACACGTGCTCAAAGCAGTGGTGCGTTAACACGCTCAGCTACATCACCCCCTCTTCCCTTGGCACCATTTGTGGTCTGTGATATGGTCCTCAAAAGGATGCACAAAAAAGAAGAATTAGAGAAACGTGACCACCACGTCAATTGCTCCTTACTCAACATTCGAAAAAGTTCTAAACCATCCAACGACAAAAAAGAAAAAGAAAAGAAGAAAACGCATCGCTTAGCGCAATTTATTTCGACTTGATTTGCCAACGTAATATACGATCGTCTGCAGAGACTGAAGCCAATTCAAAAAGCCTCGCCGAACCATCGGGGTGTAGATCAAGGACCCGCGGGAAGCGACCTCGGCGGAGAAAAGCACACATAAAAGAATGACCGCCTAAGTTATTCTGGAACGGCATAGTTTTCGTCGGCCAAACACTCCCCGCCAACACTCCCGACTTTAAGGACCGCCATCACCATCAAAGACAGCTTCGTCTATAACGAGACGACCGAACGCCCTAATGGCCCCCGGGCAGGGAGCTCCCTCTGGTGGTCGCTCGCTGACGCTCTCTCGCTGTCGCGCGATGGGGGATGCCTTTTGGGAGCTGGCCACTTGTGACAGGTCGTTAGGCTAATTGAGGTCTCGGGTCCCGGTCACACGGCTAACGGCACTAGAAGTTTGGGTTTTGCCGACTGCTAATTGGTGTCGACTTGGTGCTGATGAAAAGGGATGAGCGGTCTCTCTTGGGCCTCTCTTGGAGTGCGTTGGTGGCCCCTTGTCCGGTTTTAGTGAGTTTACCATCGGTCAAGTGTCGGAAGTGTTCTGGTTTGGGTGAGGTTTTCGCGACTGACCGCCCGATGCGATACTGGAAGTGCCGGCCGAATTTTCTTGCTTAGACCTCTAAGATGCCATTTTGTGCATCGAACTGCGCGACTTATTTTACGTTTTTGCGTTTCTCTTTTACGGCGGCGCAGTTAACATCTTGCAGATTCCGAGCGAACTATATTCAGGGACCATCGCGACAGGCACTTGTCTTCTTTTCTCAGATTGGCAAAAATATTTAATGTTGTCGTAATTATTGCGTGTGCAGTTATTTGCCGATGATTACGTTGCATACCCAAAAGTTAGGGCTGAAGATGATTATGAACCGCTACACATTATCCAGTGCGTGTCGATACTTGGTGCACTACCTAAAAGATTAACTTAAACCCGAAAAAAAAATTGCGTTCAAATTTGTTTTACGAACGAAAAAGAAAAATAATTGAAACTCTGTATTATCTAAAAACCAAATTATTCAACACAGAATGCACGTATATATAATTAGGTGTCACGTCGTTATCTGATTATCTGACTGTTCGTGGATTGCACAGACATATAGATCATGTAATTGTAAAGACCGGAAGGGCGCTCGATTCGCCGAAACTTAAAATGCCCCTAACTAAAATAAAGATCGTATTTAATAGGTGTTAAGCCACAGCCCCACTGTTTAGACACCATACAAAGGACGCTGTGAGGACAGAATCACCCGAGGACACGCCTCGAGCACCTTTGAACATGTTTCCTTCGCACGTGCTTCCAACAGGTGTGCAAACGGTTTCCGCATGCCCAGTGTGGCAGGACCGTCATACCAGGACGTCTCGGACAACGTCCGCACATTATCGTTTGGGTGATGTTTGAGTGGTGGTACCGCAGCTAAAGAATTACAAAGTGAGATCGAGAGAAGTTACGACTATGCAAGGATCTGTGAGATGCTGCATTCCTACGCAGCAAACCTAATCTCCCTGAAAGCTCGCTTCACCCGCCCAAAAGCGCTTTTTTGTTTGTTTTACGCGAGACATTATTATGATTAGATCGAGATCCGAATCTACTCTGAATATGCCGGGCCGGTCCAAACAACCGCGATATGGTCTCCGTCGCCCGCATTTCCCCTTACGAGGATAAAAGGGGCTCTGAGTGGATGGATAGAGATATACCGTTTGAATTGGTGCGCGGCTTGCGCCACTTAAAGCTCGACGATCAGACTCGCGATTCTGCAAGGCAGAAGATCCTCCTCACCATGGAGGAGGAGGAAACAGGCAACGGTAAACAGGGTACAGGGGGGGGGGGGGGAGAGGAGGAAGTGGGGAAAAAGTGGAAAGCGCGAACTGGTCGTCAGTCTTTAAAGTGCTTTTGTACTTCGTTTGAGCCCAAGTCCAGACACGGGTGACGCTACGGGCTGATGGCACTATTTAAACAGCTTTAAAAGCGCACCAGTGGGCAGTGTTTCTGTACGTGTTTTACCGTCATGTGCAGGGAAATCTCAGTGACTTATGCTTTTGGCGCTGTTTTATAGGTCTCATTAGCTCGTAGTGTCGCTTGTGTCCGGGCATAAGGCGAAATGAAGTACACTAAGCTTTGGTTTAGTGACAAAACCTCTTGTTGCTGGAATGTGCGAAGGTTATCACGACTGTCGGGAGCGAGAAAAACATGGAAGTATAATTAATATTGGAACAACTTAAATGATGGCTATTCGAAAATATTGCCAGCGCTTAGGAGGAGCTATTTCATGTAAAATTTCCTAATCACAAAGTTTTTAAATAAGCCAACCGATTACCTGTAATTTTGGTGCGAGTAGTTTCGCCCCGAAATAATTACGGGTTATTTCTTTCTTAAATTTAAGTGTATATTCAGCTTCAAAAAAAAAAAAAAAGATCAACAAAATAACAATTCTTGCAATCAAAAGCTTGAATGAACTCATTTATTTCTATTTAAAGATGGTTGGAAAGAGCCTCGCCGTTTGTTTAGAACTCAGGCGACTTGGAAATGCTGCAGTTCGAATGCGCTTCAATTTAAACGCACCTATACCCCTCGCCTCGAGGTTCATTTTCAGGGCTCATTAAATCTTCAAACACACACGCAAACACACACACGGAGTCGTAAACAACGACAAATTTTTCTATTAAAGCTGAAGTTAATTTAGATCTACTAATAATTTTAGATATAAAAGACACACAGGGACAACAAGTTTGCAAGGGGCGGCCTTAGCGATTGGTTTGAAAATAGCTATTCATGATGCATTTCGCTTCACACTATCCGCAATAAATCAAATAAGACAAACATTTTAATTAATAACCTTATGTACCCACTATGAGTATCAAAAATACCAAAACGTAAATCGATGAGCTACATACGAGTTATCTCATGCAAAAGTGAAATTCAATAAATTTACGGTATGGTAAACAGATGTTCGAGTCTTGAGACACCTTGTCTTTTTTAAGCTGAGAATGACTAAGAATCTAACTAAAACAATTCACTAAAGAGAAATAAAAAAAAAAGAAGCTCTAGCTGAACACACAACAACAGGAATGTAGCTCTGATTTGCGACGCACAACTCACCTCTTTCTGATGTCTCCATCTGCGAAGGTGAGCTAACTTCTGGAATGGTCGTAATGGCGTCGTGGGTAACAACTATCACCGGTTCTACATCTTTCAATTTTAACACTAATGACTGCAGTTCAATGTTTTTCTGAAAAAGATGGAAAAAAGAATGGAAGGAAAGAGGAGAAGAAGAGGAAGAGAAAGAAACCTGATGTAGTATGGTCTTGCATAGTTGGGACAATCAGTGTTGTAGAAAGAAGCCTAAAATAGATCTAGTGTTTGTTCACGAATAAATACGCGTCCACACACTTTGTTCGTGCACAAATTAGCTTTTGTAGAAGTGAAACGTTTGTATATTCGCGTGAGTAACGCGCGTTAATTGAAATGAACTTGAACGAAAATGTGGGATGATGTATTACAACAGCTGGATAATTCAATTCTGGCATGGCCTGAAGCTAGCGGGAGCAACTTGTAAAAAAAAACGAAAATGGTAGTTCCCTTAAATTACTGTTTCCGTTTTTTTTTAACGGTCATAGTCGACTGTACCCCAGAGGCAAGTCGACGACGACGTCATAGTTTGTGTGCACAGAAGCTTGAATTGTACGTTTTTGTTTTTAGTTTTTTTGGTGACGTCACGCTACGGTTGTCCAGTCTTCGGTTTGCAATTTGTCCTAACCACAGGATTATTATAATGAACACTGAAGGTTCAGCTGGCGCTAATGTGCTGCTGCAAATTGAAGCAGACAGCAACCAGTCCGAAATTGACTTCCGGTAATGCATTTATACGGGGAAAAGCAGGTGCATTTTCTCTCTGCACTCGATTATAAGAGCAAACATTACGAATAATTTTAACGTAGGGAATAGTTTGAAACATTGTTCAAGCACGTAAATAAAAATATTGTACAGTTAGAGTGTTTTTTTTTGTCAAGTTCATGCAATGAAACATGTGCACTGTCGGGCACTATGAGCGCGAACACGTCGTAGGTGCTTTTTTGCAGGTAGGATTTATGTGCCAAAGAACGAAGTAACGTCTGGAAAACCAAGAAAGACGGCAAGAGCTACGCAGTAACACTGGATCAGTAGCTCTCTGTGCATGAAGGCGATCAAAATAATGTGAAGGCCAAGTTAATATAGTCTGATTTGTGATAAATAAGTATCGCTTTATTTTCTTCGCTCGTGTATATGTGCGAAGATGCTTATTCTGCGTTCCACACAATACCCGCGCGCTCGAAATCTTTGAAAATAGCGAAAAAGCCAGAAAACATGTGCCCTATAAAAGCTGCCCGGCATGTGAAATATTAAGAGACACCTTTCGTAGCCCACGGACTTTTTTTACGTTTTGAATGTTTTTAACCAATCGTAAAGATGCACGACGGGGTAATTTTCACACATGTGACAGGACTGGCTAATTAGCAATATATACTGTAAGCGTCACCCGAATGCTGGGGGACCTTCAACACATTCGACATTACTTTCGATCGTTATTTTACTTAGATTCGTCGCTCGTGTTTACGCACTTTCTGTGACCACCGGTAAGGGCACGAAATGTAGCAAAATCAAACATCATTCACAAATGAAAAAAACAATGCCGTGACTAAAGCAATTATACATTTACGATACTAATGAAGGTGCATACTATTCGGTACGACCCTACTTACAACAGTGTTCTACGTTATTTCCGGCAAAGAGACAAAATGCACGCGCGTTTTCTCACAGGAATGCACCGCAAAAGTACCTAGACTGCTTGCTGCCTGCTTCAATCTGCATCCCGGAAGTCGCATAGACCCCAGTGCCAGTTGAACCGCTAGCGTACATTATAATAACTCCATGGTCCTAACCCTTTCTACGCACAATTGCACTTTGTTTTCAGTCTCAGTTGGAAAAGATGGCAAGGTAGGACCCCTGTTAGCCAATTAGGGCTACGAATCGAAGTGCATGGCAGCCCTCTAAAGGCACGAGATTTCGTTTCACTTTAAGTTGAACCGCAGCCGCCGCTATGATCTGATGGAGACATAAAAGTCGAGTCAAATGTGCGTCACCACTGCGGTTGTTGTCTCTGTGGGTTTGCTATCACAAGATCAATCAATCTATAATGCAGAGAAAAAGGCACAGGATCGCTGGGGCATTGATTGTGGGTCACTGATTTAGTAAGCGATAAGAAACGCACAAAAACAACGAGCGCCGTGACAATGCAGTTTTGGCGCTGCTTGTTGGCTCCATTGGGGGCTGCGGGCGGATTAAAAGTGAAATGGAACTTAGAGGGCTGTCAGGCACAACAAAGTACGACTGTGCGATGGCACGTCGTCATATATGTCGCTCCGATGCTCTCATTGGCTCGCTGGGACCGTAGCTGTCGCCGCTCTTCAAGTTCGGCTGAAGCGGTGTATGATCGAAACACTTTGAGGCACTCTAGCCGGCGTTCCGAATATTACGATCGAACTGTTCAGAATGCCATATATCATCAACGAACATGTTGGAGGTGGAGGGGGATACCAAGAAGCGATAGACTGTACGGAGGAAATTTAACATATGCTTCGATTACGCCGTTTACTCCTTACACTTATGAATCTTGAGTTAATTTTAGCCTATACCGCATAGATGAGAAGGCCGCAGTGATGCATTTTTAACGTCATCTATGGAGGCGACCATAGGACATCTATTGGACGTGAGTGTGGCGTCAGCGTTCGGCAAATCCGTGCCCCGCGTTCGCCTCCTTAGATGACGTTAAAATTTCATTACTAAGACCTTCTTATCTAGAAGGTCTTGTATCAACTCCAATTTGTTTATTAATATGGTAAACGTAAGATAATTACTCTGTTTTAAGTGCGAGGGTGTGTTTATCTTGTCCAAACCCTCGCAAACGTACACAGAAAAGGCGCGAGGTACTCGAGTGAGTTAATACCCACCTCTTCTAATCGCTGCCTGTAGCGCATATTTTCGTCCTGCAGCACTTTGATTCTGGTGAAGAGGCTCTCGTCGTCCGAATCACGCCTCGACTTCTTCAGCGGCTTCAGGGTAGCCCGAACGCGGTGCTCGCCGGCCTGCGGGTTTCGCCGAAGTTCCACAAGCTTCGAGGGAGATGGCCAAGAACCCAGCAATTCCGCCATCGAGAAAAGCACCGGGATCGAGGGACGATTCGTCGGTCAAGCGTATCACGGTGACCCACCGGGTCATTGTCGAAGCACGTTGTGTCCAACGGGTTAGTCCAGGACAGGAAGACGTCAAGTGGGATGACCCGATGTATGAACGTGTCAAGGACATGTCCCGTGATGATAAATGTCATTTTTAAAGATGATTTTATCCGTCGGATTCCAGAAGTTACGTCACATGGATGAGCCAGGAAGAGCGTTGAGGTGAATCAAGACACGTCACAAGCCAGTCCAGGGTAGGATGACGTGGCAAGAAGGATCCGGATGAAGGCCAGCAGGGTCAGGGCAGGTCACGTGATGGAACGGGACAGGACGTTGGTGGGGAACGTTATGTAACGAAAAAAGAAGGGGCGGCAAGAGCAAGTACAAAATATAGTGTTAGTGTGTTAGATGTGAATGCCTCTGCATCGGGCTTTATTTCTAAGTACCGCCCTATTGTGGCATACGCCGGTTTCGTTTACATTAAGTTTATAATACCTACATTCTTCAGCTGGTTACTACTGACCAGTTTTTCACAGGAAACGTTTTTAGGCTCGGTGTTAGGCATTTTCTGAAGCCAGGTAAAAGTAAAGCCTCGATAAAGGTGTTACCGTTCGAGAGGGGGGGGGGGGGGGGAGGGAGTCCATCGCAGTAAAGAAACGTTTAGGCAAGGCAGGAATCGAAGCCACACTATTCAGATTATTAAGCGAGTGTTTTTCCAACGTGTCTAGTCACATCGACTTGAGTTGAGGTGTTATTATTAGGGTGAAACGTTCTTCGGCTAGATGTTCAGCATTTCGTGAAGCCCAGATACAAGCGTGGCCGCGAGGCTCGACATTGATTGGTTGACCGGTGGGAGAGAAGGAGTGAGGGGCTCGACGCTGCTTGGTTAACAGGCAGGTCATGTGACCAGAGTGGTAGGCGAGGAGGACCTCGACGACCTCTGCGCACTGAGGAAGAGGAGCTTGAGGGTATATGGAGGGCTTCGAAAGATCGCCAAGTTTTTCAGCCCGATTAGCGGTAGTATCGCTTCATTCTAGGAACCGCTGTCAAGTTTACTCATGGTACGCGTTAAATTACCTGATGAAGCGCATCGTGAAGGTAGGCGTCGGGCGTCTGGTAACTCAAAGTTTCGCTAAAGGTTTGCGATGCAAGAACGTTTCACGTATCCAACAAAACTGCCTAGCAAATCTAAATCTTCATTATCGTGTGAGAGCAAGCCCGCTCCTACCGCGCGCACCGTGGGCTCAGGGCCGGCTTTCTAGAAGCCGCGTCTCAGCTAAGACAGGGTAAAAGAAAGCACTGCCAAAGCTAACGCACGATTGGAGTGGCATCTCACGTCGGGTCTCAAGCGCTCGCGCGCCCCAAGCTTGGCAGGTTTTTGTTTTGCACCCAGTCACAGCTAAGACGTTGTTCCTAGCAAGCCGGCCATTGACTTTTGGCAAAGGCTTCAGATACAAGGTGCGCACCGCATTGATTTACCTTTTTTTTTTTCTTATAATAGATGGTTAAAACCTCCCCTTAGGAATTCTTCTAGTGTTTTTTTTTTAATTATTTTTACGTGGGGTCAAGAAATTTTGCAAAGAGAAACAATTGTATACTCGAGTGTATACTGCTTTGTATTGCTTGAGGCAGTCATCCTTCCGTCGCTGTCAAAGTATGTATCTTTGTTACCTTATGTTTCTCGGCACACGTTCGCCTCATTAGACGTTCATTTTAAGTGTTATTAATCAAGTTTAATTTTTATTCGTGACATTTTGGTGGAGGTGCGGGGTAACGCAATCTATGCCCACGTTGCGTACCACCTGTGAACACGAAAACTCCGAAGACGAAGACCGCGAAGGTGACGTCGCTGAAAACATCCGAGGATGACTCTAACTATGACATCAACGACGACCTCAACTATGGCCTCGAAAACGACCCGGACTATGAACTCGAAATCCCCTGGCTACGGAATTGAGGATAACAAACTACAGCAAGTTTTTCCCACACCTGTAAGTAGTAAATTGTAATATTATCTTTATATTTTCTTATAATAAAGCGAAAGTTTTTAAACATAAAACTTAAGTAATAAAATAATGCTTAGTTTAACAAGAGTAACCGAGTGTTGTTCAGCTAACTCTACCGGTTTGTTTTGATTGATATATTGATGAAGTGTGAACACAAGTAAGCTTTTAAGACTTAAAGGTAATCCATAAAAAATAACTAATTTTATTGTCGTCTAATCTTCACTATGACAGTAACGGTACATTCTGAGAATACGGCTACTCCCTGTATGTGCTTGACACCGTACCGACTAAAACACTCAAGAATCACCAGACGACACTCTTGCAACAAGACGCCACTTGACCACTTCACCACTCGCACGTCACCACAATCTAAATATTGTCACCAGAACCATGAGGGTGTGCAGACTTGAAAGATGTGCTCAAAAAAGTTCGGAAAGTGCAGTTCAGGCACTGGGGGTCGTTCGAGACATGCGGGTTTTTGAGAAACTGCAGGACTCTCTACTCGCTGAAAGCATGTGATACAGAAACCTAGGTTTCCATGTAGCATAGTTTCGTCACTTAATTCTTCAGATAGCAAAGCTCCCGTAATTTCGGTTCCGAACTACCATACTTTTTATTATTTAGACCTTTGGGCAGTATACAGATCCGGTCACATAAATCTCAAATTAGCATAGTTCCTGTCACCTGTCTCCAGCTTGCATAGCTTCCATTACCAAGTCTCCAGGTAGCCCGTTAGTATAGTTTCCATCGCCTTACTCTCCAGGTAGCACAGCCCCGTCATCTAAGCTTAGTTTTTGTCATTTAATTATTCAAGTAGCATAGTTCCCACAACCCTAGGTCTCCAGGTAGAATAGTTTCCATCACCTAAGTCTTCAGGTAGCATGGTTCCCGCCACCTAAGTCTCCAGGTAGCATACTTGTGGTCAACTAATTCTTCAGGTAACACAGTTCTCGTCATTTAACAAAAGTATTGTTGATAGGAATCGTTATAGTGAAACATGGGAGTGAGTTTGGTTTAAAGTAATACACAAACAAAATTAATATAGCCGCGTGCGAATAGCCGAGTCTGCAGAGTGCTCGGCTCCCACGCCGCCGGCTGGGGTTTGATCCCCGCCAGCGCTGGTCGTTTTTATCTCTCTTTTGTTTGCATGACTGGAATGCTCCAGATGACTCGAGAATCTTGTTGTTTGTTCTAGCTCGGAAACTGCTAGATAATCACGAGCTTACAAAAGGAGCTTCGCATGGCCTGTTTGAGGCAGTCTTCCTTCCGTCGCCGCCAAGGTATGTACAATGTTTTTTACCTTAGGTTTCTCTGAGCAAGTTCGCCGCATTAAAAGCTCATTTTTGTCATTATTAATCAAGTTTATATTTTTATTCGTGACAATATGCTACATGCACTATAACGCACAATAAGAACTACGCAAAAACCCCCCAAAAAACTTGACATTTCGATAAAAAAATAGCACTGCAGTACTAGCCTGGCATCTTTAATACTTGCACAATTCGCAGTGTCACAGTCGAGACTTTGTCTTCCGGTAAAATATTTGTTTTTTTGCCGCGTCTTTGACTCGGCTTTCCTCCGTAGATGGTGCAAAGTCTATCTGCGCGTGGACTGTGGCGAAAAAGACACGATATTGGGCATGGTCTAGTTTTATTCAAAGGTATCTAAGAACGGGTTCTGTGAAGACGTGGATATCAAAAGAGTGATAGTTATTATAAATTGTTACCTATTTTTTTGACCTCCACATTTTATGACGCACCTTTAATCAATACAGTCTGCTGACACTGTCCGAGGCCTGCTTCTTTCTTCCGAGATGTCACATTGGTCATTCAAAAATGTATGGAGGCATGTTAGAAGCTTACATGTGTATAAACCGAATATGCTTTGAATATGCTTGGAGCATATCCAGCGACTATCTCGTGATTATGTCTGAACCGAACATCGTGTCTTTTGCATGATGTATGAGCAGTGGGACTGCGGCTTTAGTTTAAATACAAGTTTTGTTCTAGACTTAGATTTTCTTAAACTGCAGCCTTCCGTATTTCAATTAATATACACATATTCTGTTTTCCAACCTGGACATTTACTGTACCGTCCTGACAATAAGGGCCTTTGTAACGTAAGATCTAATTCAACAGTTTGCTTTTTCCCACAGCGTGTTCAAAGCATCGCCTAATTAACAAGCCGTTACTTGCATTTGTTGTTTTATTTTTAACTGAGCTTCAGCAATGCAGATTACCTTTTTTCCATTTCGTTTGTAGTACAACTCAATAACGCATCTCAGCTCAGAGCACGTGGAGCGAAAACTTGCGCTACAGAACCCAGGGATCTTGTGCTCAATCCCAAACTGTGCTTGCTTCGAACTGAATGAACATTATACTGACGTACGGCCGTGTAAAACTACTCCGTGATGCATGTTAAAAGCCCCGGGCAAACAGTCATCTCTTCAGTAAAAAAAAGCTTTCCCCTACAGAAAATGAGTTTCAAAATATTATAGTTGATTAAACTCGCGTAGTGTGAACATTAAGCGGCCAATGAACTTTTTTTTTAAAAATACGTTGAGGACTGCTTCCGAAGATGTCGCCCTGATGATATATTGTTCACGAGAAGCGTTGCACTTGATATAAATACAACACGGCACGTTTTTATGACACATGCTTTCAGCGAGACGAGCATTCGCAAAACTGCAGCGGGTTTTGGTCCTGGTTGGAGGCGCCTCATAGGAAAGCGACGTTCAGGTATGGTGCCTGGAACGCGTCTCCTACTGATGTGTTTACCGCGTCCAAAACGTGGTCACACGGTTTTTGCCTGATGTCGTCATAGAAGTGTCATGCTTTCGCCGGTCGCGACCCTGACAGTGTCGGAGCAGCGTTGGTGGATGTGGCGAACACCTGTTCCGCTGCAGGTCGGTCTCCACTTCGACAATCCACGGAAAGCTTCGGGAGCCAGAACTTGAGACGCCGTAACGACAGCGACGCTCACGTCCGCTCCCGCTTTTTGCCGGAACTTCTTTGACCAAGCAGAAGGACTGAGACATCCGACAGCATGACACCCCGGCTTTTGCGACGTTATTTGTTGCAACTTCGGGAGAAGGAGAAGGAGGCTGAACACACTAGTCGGAGACGCGTTCCAGGCGCCGTCGTTCGGGTATGGTGCTTGGAACGCGTCTCTGACTGGTGTGTTTACCCTTAACTTCCTCTATACTTAGAAAGCCTTGCAGTTCAACGACAGAGCCATAGAGTGCCCGGTCGCAGATTCGGAGCAGAAGGATTTGGTACCACAGAGCATTAAAGAGCCAATTTTCGGGGAACCTGGACGTCAGCGCTCAGCTTTTGCAGCGGCGCGGACCCGAAACACATTTTCGGGTCCTCGCGTCTCGCCGCAGCGTCTCGCAGCAGCGGCGAGACGCTGCGTTTCGGCGTCTTGCTGCAGCGGGGCGCCAGTCACGTTGCTCTCCTCTCATCCGTTGTCTGCTGCCCCACCTTTTCCATTTTGGCGGCCGCTTCTCGTGGCGATCTGTCAGGCTTTGTCAGTATACAGAAGGCTATGGTTTACCGCGTCCTAAGAAGTGGTCTTTCAATTTCCGCCTGATGGCGTCATAGAAATGTCCTGTTATCGCCGTCCGCGATCCTGGTAGTGTCACAGGAGTGGTGGTGGAGATGGCAGACGCCTGCTATGCTGTAAGGTGTTCTACAGCTTGTCAGTCCACGGAAGCTTCGACAGTCAGGGGTGGGGACGCCGTGACGACAGCGACACTCAGGTCATCTAGTACTTTTTTCAGAACTTGTAAGCCCAACCGCCAGGATTGCGATATCCGAAAGCATGACACTCCAGCTTTTATGACATCATTTGTCACCACTTTGAAGCCACTCTCAAAGCATGGGCAGAACAGAAGGGTAAAACACCAGTAGGAGACGTGTTCCAGGAACCGTCGTTCAAAAAAGTCCAAGACCAGGAGCAAGAGTCGTCAAGCGAAGGAGGAGAGAGAGAGAGAGAGAGAGTCTTTCAAGGAGGCAACCTAGGCAAGAGTGCACCGTCACACAGGGCGGTCACAAACCCAAAAAACCAATAGAGAAGAAGAAGAAGAAAGAGGGAGCCACATGTAAGAGTGTTTTTGAAATGGGCTCACCAGTCTCACCTTGGGTACGAATACGAGGCAGAGTGTGGTGGTAGAGCAGAAGATGATGAAGACGGAGATGATGATGAAGGCGGCGTCCTGCTGGTCGCGCAGCACGAACGAGATAGCCGCGCCGATGCTGCACATGATCACCACGTTGTACACGCTCATGCCCACGTACTTGGAGTCGTTGAGGGCCGGGATGCTCACGTGCCGGGTCTCCCAGGCCAGGAAGCAACCGAACGCCTGAATCCGCAAGAGAACGCAACGATGAGCAAGAAGAGAAGGTTATGGAGATCAAAGACAAAAGTTAAAAAGTTTCACTGTCTTGGTGATATTCACTTGCGGCCACAGTTATGTCCGTTGCTTCTCAGCACGAGCTTACGATGACCTTCCACGTCGCTTCCGCAACGTGTATTGCACACCACCAAGATTGTAGTAATTATAGGAAGATAAGTAGGGCCTCGTTCTGAGATTGTGCTGTGAGCACCCTGATCAATTATGGCGCCCAGTGAATACCAAATATCGGAAACGTGCGACAAGATGATGGCACCACAGATTGGTGCCATTATCTTGTTGGATTCAGGTGTTCAGTGCGTCATGGTGTTTGTGTTGGTGTTCATTTCTAATGTGTAGTTGTAGGATGTATTTAGTAGTGCCTTCAAATACCACAGGGACATCATTTGCTAACAAAATCCAAAATAAAGAAAAAAAAAAGTGTAGCCGGTTTTTATACACAAATGGCATCTTGCGGGGGAAGGAATATATTTCTGGTATATCTAAAATCTTTTGTGATTCATATTTATGATATATTTTGTATACCTTACGCGCGTATTTCGTATGTGGACAAAAAGAATACAGAATAAATACAAAGTGAATATTCATATTCAATATATTTCAACTTCGTTTCAAGTACGGCCTCTTTTTGCTAAGGGGACATTGACTCTTTGGCATCTGGGCCGCATCCAAGGCAGCATCCTTCAACGGTGACGTCACATACTGAACCTGAGACGCCGGCTATAAAAGAAACCCCGACAGACTGGATCTTCAGTGGGCAGCGTGGCAGCACAACTGCTACCATGCTTAGACAACGTACTCTTGCACTGTATGTTGGTCCTTATTACAACTACCCCGATTTTCTTAGTAAGAACCGTTTCATCGTGCTGCTACCCTGCCCACGAAGAGTCCGTCTTTGTTTATTTGAATGCTCGCACGTATTTGTGCAACTGCTTCTGCTTAGCGGTGATGTCGAACCAAACCCTGGCCCGACAGATCGCGAAATTATGTTACAACTGTTAGAAGGCCAAAAGGAACTCAAAACTATCGAAACGTTACTGGAAGACAAACTTAATAAATTCAACGATCGTCTGGACCCTCGCGATACAAATCTCAATGTTAAAATAAAAGAAGTTAACGACCATTTGAATTCGGTATATGCAAACGTAGTGGTGCTTGAAGATCAAGTAAAGTTCTTGCTGGACAAAGTTGACGATCTTGAGAACAGAGGCTGCAGAAACAATCTTATCATTCACGGCGTGAAAGAACTACCCGCAGAAACTTCAGAAAATTTAACCAACCTTATCACAAACGAAATATCCAAAAACCCGCCTCGGTACCAGTGTGACTGGAATCGAGCGTGGTTCATCGAATAGGCGGACTTTCGGAAGGAAAAATTCGGCCTGTCATTGTCAGATTTCTTGATTATCGCAAAAAAATATGGTCTCGAACAACTGCGCGAAGCTGAAAGGCTCAAATCTGTACCATTACAGAAGATTTCTCGCTTAAAGTTCGTGAGGCCAGAAGAAAACTGTGGAATAGTGCGGCTAATGAACGTGACCAAAATCACGAAGTCAAGCTTCGTTACGATAAGATGGTTATTGACTTACATTTGTGACGAAAAAAGGGCGGAAGACTTGACATCAAAGCAATTAAGAAACAATGACCAAAAGCATTGGACGTCAGTGGGTTTAGGTTGCTTGACGTAAATTGCCGTTGTGTGGTCAACAAATCTCTTGAACTCGAACATATTATCGCTGTCAACTCGCCGGACGTTGTTTGCTTAACTGAAACTTGGCTTAACAATAACATTTTTGATTGTGAATTTGTTCCTAATGATTTCATCGTAATTAAAAAAAAAAAAACGAGATACTAGAGGAGGTGGAGTGGCCATACTGTATAGGAAAACATTACCAATCGTGAAACTAGACGACATCTCCGGTGTCGAGGGCGTATTCTGTAAAGCGACGATAAATGGGACAACGTATCTCCTTGGAGTCGTGTATACGCCTCCGAATTCGCCCATTTCTGTTCTTCAAAAACTAAAAGCTTATCTCGAGCAGTATATAACGAGTAAAACCAGAGTTCTTTGTGCGGAGACTTCAACTTACCAAACATAGATTGGCTTGATTATTTTCCAGGCAGTGTTGACTTCGAACATAACGAAGAATTGCTAGACCTAGCTTTTATATTTGACTTATCTCAAGAAGTGTTTCACAAGAGTGTACGGGAACTCGCAGTCTATTTTAGATATTGTTTTTATTGGAAATTCCGTAGCAAAGTTATCTTCTTGTGAAGTGGTTGAGGAAATTTCTGACCACAATGTTGTACTACTATCGCTCTCAAACGAGGTTCTCAAAGATGACACTAAGATTCCCAATGTGCTGGACTTAGCTCACGCTGATGATACATCAATCTTAGACACCCTTGATTTACAGTTTGATGAGTTTTTCTTACTTCCATCCGATTCCTGTTCTGATGTTAACCAATTGTGGCTTAGGTTTAAGAATATTGTGAACCATTGTATTAAAATGTGTGTGGCAGTACGAACTATAAAGCGAAGCCGTAACAATCCATGGATCTCACGTGAATCCATTCATTTAAAACGTCGACTGCGACGTTTAAAAGCGAAATGTAAAACCCATATAAATCAGTCCCTAAAAGACAACGTTAAATATCTTTCCGACAAGTTAAAAGAACAAATGAGGGCAGATAAACACAAGTTTTTTAACAACTCTCTTTCCAACTTTATAAAATCGTCGCCTAGAAAGTTTTGGAATCATATCTTACCAAGCACTACAAACAGAAATGCGTTTACAATTGATGGCCTGTTTGAAACAGACTCTAGGAAAAGAGCTGATCATTTCAGCACACAGTTTAAATCTGTGTTCACACGTGATGATGACATCGCGACCCCTTTTAGCCAAGTTTGACCACTTACCAGCCCTTGAGAATGTGCGTGTGACTGAACAGGGAATTTTTAACTTACTCTTAAACATAGACCCACGGAAGTCTAGTGGATCAGATGGCTTGCCCAACGCGTTTCTAAAACGATATCCAGAGTTTGTGTCGGAATATCTAGCCATTATATTAAACAGGTCACTAAATGAAGACGACGTGCCGATTGATAGGAGGATGGCAAGAGTTAAACCGATACATAAAACCGGAAACAAAGAGCTGATTATTAATTATAGACCTATCTCCTTAACTTTGACTTAAAACGAAAGAAACACACAACAGGACGAAACAGACTAGACAGCTTTCGATTTGCAACGACAGACTACACAGCTTTCGACTTGCAGCGACAGAAAATCTGTCGAGTCGAAAGCTGTGTAGTCTGTTTCGTCCTATTGTGTGTTTCTTTCGTTTTAAGTCAATTTAGATCACCAACAGACTCAACTCTTTAATTAACTCCTTAACTTGTTTTGTCTGTAAACTCTTTGTACACATTAATATTAAACACATTTTTGAATTTCTTGATACACATAACGTACTGTCGAGCAGCCAACATGGCTTCAGACGAGGATTTTCCACAACGACTCAATCGCTTGAGACAGTTCATGACCTTACCTCCGCCCTGAACAAGAAAAGTCAGGTAGATATCATCTTTACCGATTTCGCGAAAGCGTTCGATAAAGTATCGCATGCAAAGCTCCTAAAAAATTGAATTCCTACTTAAAAATAAACAAGTTGTTGGTTGGATCCAAGGCTTACCTAACAAACCGTTACCAATATGTAGAATTTATTAATGAGGGTTCTTCCCTGCTTTCAGTAGACTCCGGCGTCCCCCAGGGATCGGTATTGCGCCTTTGTTGTTCTTGCTATTTATCAACGATATTCCCGATAAGATTCTGTCAAAATACGTCTTTATGCCGACAATTGTGTGATGTATAACGACGTTAAGAGTGTTGATGAACAAATTAAGCTTAATGATGATTTGAACAAGATTTTGAAATGATGTGACACATGGCAAGTGTGCATAAATTATGAGAAAAGTGTTTGTATGACCGTCACTAATAAAAAAAAGCCACTTTCATTCTCCTATCACATGAACGAACATATCCTAAGAGAAGTTACTGAATTCAAACATCGATGGGTCTCTGGATCAGTTCCGATCTTAGATGGGATAAACAGATCAATTTAATTTGCTCTAACGCCCTCCGTAGATTATTTTTTCTCAGACGAACACTAAAATCAGCCACTTTAAATACTCGACTCCTGGCGTACAAGACTCTTATCTTAGAATATGCAAAGATTATTTGGGACCCATTTACTCAGGTAAAAATTAATCGCATAAAGGGAATACAAAATAAAGCTGTCAGATTCATTTTTAACGCCTATAGGAAGGCGCCCATTTCCGAGCTTAGCAAACAGCTTGGGCTTGTCTCGGTTCAAGAACGAAACCGTGTATGCAGACTCAATTTTTTATTTCAATTAATTAAGGGACAATATAAAATTAACGTTGACGAATACATCACTTTCTCGACTGGTTACGCCACCCGAGGAAGAACCCCACTTACCATTACACCTTACTAACCGCGCATCAACAGTTTTGAATTCTCCTTTTTTCCTCGAGCGATTGTAGAATAGAATGGGCTTCCTTACGAAATTGTTAACCAAGACTCTGTAAGTGCATTTGTTTCCGCTTTCTGTTCTGAATGAGTAACCCTTTGGTTCTTTTTCGCTTCGTTTTATGTTACTTTCCACCCTGCTATGATCCCTGATAGGGATCTGCCGTATTTGTAAATAAATAATATAAAATAAATAAATAAAACAGGGGTATGGGTTCGGCATCTTTCGAGAGTAGAGAAATGATTAGTAAAATAAAATTTGAACAAAGACCAGCTGAAAATGAGGATACACGGTGGACAGCGAAAGTGTACAGGTATCTATATTTATATGAAAAGTCTAAACACTAAGTGGACAAACCGAACCCGTTAGCTGAGATCTAAATACATTCAACGAGATGGAGCCGATCAGAGCATATCAGTATAAAAGGGAGTAAAGGAAACTGAGAGGTAATTGTGGGAAGAGAGAATGCAGGGGAAATCAGCCTTTAAAAATATACATGGCACAAAACACGAAATAAAGAAGGAACCGCTATATGATAAATTATTGGGGAGCTCACTGCTGTTTGAAGCTTGAACGGGGGTGCTAAGAACGAAAACATATAGGGCTAAATTCCAGAAAATCGACACTCTATGCGATGTATGCAACCGCGAAAGGAAAACTATTGAACATGTAATTTTAAGGTGCATGGGGCTTTCTTCCCACCCTCTTGCGGGGATGACTACGGATTTGGGGGGGGGGGGGGGGGGGGGGGGCGAGGGGTACTGGGAATCGCAGACGTGGATAGAAGAATTTATAGGGAAAGAATTACGTTAACTAGGGGGAGACTGGAAGCTTGGTAAAAAATATCTGGGGAGGTGTGTAAAATACAGGTAAAAATAAGCAATGGAAACACTTTAAAGGGGGAGGGTGGGGTTGTGCTAGAACAAAAAATTATACAAATTTTAATATAGAAAAGGTGACGAAATGTTAGGCTAGGTGGCGCAAGCTGCCGCCCGTTACCATCCATCCAGGTCCCGATGGTAAAATTAGGGAGGGGAGTACTTAGCTTCTCCCGTTGGTACAGCATAATCATTGGAGCCCGACCTTCCTTCATTTCCAAATCGATGAAAGAAAGAGGCACACTATTGATTATAAACGAATTGAGGGAAAGTTTTCATACGTTTATAGAGGAACTTCTAAAGCCACTGACACAATGCTAATACGTCATACAAAAGACAGTCCGTAGATGCTGTCTGATGTATTCCTTGTAGGATGGTCCTGTCGCATTGGTCATACAAAAACTGTCTGCAGTCATTTTCTAAGCATACATGCCTGAGCCGTGTTCGCAGATAACACTGTCGTCGTTTCTGCGGAGAACACCGTGTCTTTTGTGTGACGCATGAGCAGTGACTGAAGTGACTGTGACTGAAGAGTGCAAGAATAGAAAGAAATACGGCAAACAAAGGAACGCAATGCCGTAATTCGTGGTTCACGTTTCCACTTTCTCCTCCCGAGGTGTCTCTAGCACGATTTGCACGGGAAGCGCGTGGGACGCACCATGAGCAGGCCCTTGTAGGCGTAGATGGAGCCCAGAAAGATGGTCATCTTCTGGCTCTGGCAGAATTCCATCTCGGGAATCACCGACACGTCCTCGTTGCCGTGGGACGCCTGGAATCGAGAACGAGAAGTATTCGTAAGCATACGGAAGAACGTCGTCTCAACTTTCAGCTATTGCTGTACAGCGGTGTAGCTAGTGTTGTAGGCGTTACCAAAAAAAAAGAAAGAAGTAACGAAGTAAGCTACTCGTTACTTGCAAATATGAGGAACGCTTCACCGACCTCCGTTACCTCAAAATAAAAGGAACACGTTACCGTTACCGTTACCGTTACCGATAAAAATAAACGCACGTTACTTTTTTCAATTATGCATTAGCACATTTTGCTGTTTTGGCGATCCAGGTATGCGTAAGCGCCATATTTCAAGAAACCTTAGGTGCATGCAGAAACTGAACATAAATACCCTATCTTTTTTCACGGTTTCACCTAAATGCACACTAAAAAAAAAAAGCAAAAAACGCAAAAAAAAGGCACGTGGCTTGGCGCCTAAAACGCAGAAAAATTGAAATGTAATTCTTTTAACACTTGGGAACAAGAAGGAGCGAGTAACGAAACTACGTTGTCCGTTACTTGAAAGAAGTAACGTTTTCCGTTATTGTTTTGAGGAAGTAACGAGTACGTTTTACGTTACCCCAAAAAGTAACCCGTTACTGGTAACGTCCTCACTTGGAACGCGTTACCGCCAGCACTGGGTGTAACTAAACTTCGTTTCAGCATCACCTGGCTTCGGAAAACACTACGACCCCATCAATCCGATCACAGCGATGCATCCAAGTACGTCACTGCTTTCCATTGCCTTGGACTGTATGACTCTGCGTGAGCAGCTACGTACGCGTGTTCTTATTTATTCTGATTTTTTTTTCTCGCTGAGCCGCAGTTGAGGTTCGTCTGAAGAGAAATAACGCAAAACGTATCTACCACGTAAGAAAATCAAACAAACAAAAAAAAAACATCAATCCGCTTTTCGTTTAACGTTCACTCTTAACCAAAACAGACAGTTTAAGTAGATCGCCCTGACACCTTCGGAAACGATATCCGATACCGATACGAAACATGTACGAAGCCATCAGCGGAGAATGGGGTATTGTTTTCGGAGTCGTCGGAACGATTTACTAAAAAACCCTGTTATAGCACTAGCAGTCGGGACCAGATTATAAGTTTTTAGAACTAACTGGTTTTCAAAGATTTAGGCTAATTCCGGTAATTTCCATTAAGGAATTGGCGGCCAAACAAGTCTACGAATACTAAATGGTGTCTTCTTCAGGGAACGGGCATCATTGTGTCATTAAATATTTCCGAAAAAATGCTTATAACTTTTTAGCCAGATACCAAGAAGCTCTGACACTTAGGCACATGTCCCGGTCATCTCGCGCTGTATTTGGGCGGCGATGCGTAATGCACTTTAATGACGAAAAAAAACAAAAAAACTGAAAGAGGTGCACGGTTATTGTTTACCGTATCTTTAGTTTGCCCTTGATTTCCGTTTTGTGATGTCACAACTATGTAACTATGTAATTGTCCTGATCGCCGCGATCCTTGTAGGGGTATAGCAGTGGACCGTGGTTAAGGCAGACGTCTTTTCTGCTTTAACTCGCTCAGCAGCCGACCAGTACACGAAAATTCGCCACAGCGGAAAATTGTAACGCCGCCACACACAAAAAAAGAAAAAAAGTTATTGGGTTGTGTGTATGTTTATACAGCCTAGAACTTGGTCTGCCTCAACGGGCGACGAGGCTCCCAGCTGTAGATGAGAAATGTAGCCAGTGCGGTTCAACCGCTAGTCTGGGGTCTTTAGCGTGCAGCACGCAGCAGTGATACACGACCGCACGCCGGTGCGATGCTCATCCAGATCGAAACGGGCAGGGGTGGGGATTGAACCTCTTATTCCTGGGTTCTGCAGCGCGAGCTTTCGCTCTACTTGCTCCGAGCTGGTGTGCGCCGCAACAACAGTGACACCTGAGTAGGCGCCAGGACCGGCAAAAACCGGTCACATACGTGATATTACACAGAAACTCCTGTGGTCTATTTTGTTGCCCCAGTTCGGAGACATGTCCTATGCACGGGCAAAGCAAAATGCCACAGTAAAAAAAAAAAAAAAAAAAAAAATTGAAGAATTGTTTTTGGCATTATAGCCGCAATTTTAATTGAGCGGAATATTTATTTATAAATTTATTCAGTTATTTGTTGAATATAGGCAACCTACAATGCTGTTTGGTTTGGCGCCATCTAGCGACTGAAGCAAGAAATATTGGGTACCCCTGGGAGTGGCGGCTGCATTGTTCAAACGTGAGCTTTTACTCTGGTGGCGCCGCTTAGCCTAGTGTCTGAAGCAAGAAACACTGGGCAGGCCAGGAAGCCGCGATCGCGTAACGTGCCAGTAGAGCGGAAGCTACGGCCCTGGCGGGCCAATCGGAACGTGACTGCGTGTCACCGGAGCGCGCCGCAACTCCGAAGAAGTATCAGGCTTTTCGCTGCGTCATGCTCCAATATGTGTGCGTTGCGCTCGTGTACGTCGCGCATTTCGAAGCCTTCGGCACGCAATGTGGGGCTTATAGTTCACCCTTTGCCAAGTTACAACGAGAGAGGGTATAACCGTGCCCTCTCACCCTGCTTGCGCCGCCTGGCCGTTGCCGGCTGGCTACACCTTCAGAACCCGAAAACGTTATAGGTAGGGTTCGGAGTTTTCGGTTTAAACCGATAAAAACCGATAAAAGTACGCCAAATCCATTTTCGGAAATTCGGTATTAACCGAAAAAGGTCAGCATTTAGGTTCGGCGTTTTCAGTTTAAACCGATAAAAACGGATAAAGATACGCCGAATTCATTTTCTAAAATTCTGTTTTAACCGAAAGTGGTCAGTTTTTTTATGGCCGTGTCGAGATGGGCGGGGGGAGGGGAGAGAGGGCGTTGGAAGGTTCGACAGTGTGTGACCGCTTCGTGATAGGCCTTGGGTTGTCCTTCGCGGGACATCTGTGTCCTTTCTGTGATCGGGCTTGGTGTGCCAAGCTCTTGTTTCTAAAAACAAAACGTTCGGGTGCTTCATCTCCTCAGCCTGCCAGTGTCAACGTTGAGAGGGCATTCTCAAAGCCCAGGGTCATTAACAGCAAAGAATAAGCGTGGATCAACGAGGAGAACATGGGAAAGTGCATGTGTGTTTACTATAATAAGATCACGTGATCCTGATGTACAGAAGATGAAGTTCCATGTTTTTTTAACACTGACTTGTTTGTATTTATATATATATATATATATATATATATATATTACAGTTGCACACATCTGTTAAATAAAGTGTCAATGTTTTCTTTCAACGTATCTGTGCCGTTATTCTTTGAGTGATCAGAAATATCATATGATCCAGTGTCCGATGGTGTTTCTTTAATATTCACCGAAAAGCACGGGTAAACGTTTGTGGGCATAAATATACACCGAAAAAAAACCGAAAATTGAACTTTAAAATAAACACCGAAAAAAGTACGCCAAATTTGGAAAAAAAAACCCGAAAACACGGAACACTAGTTATAGGGGATGAAGGCAGGCATAAAAACGTGCAGTGAAATTGTGACAAAAATAATAATAAAACGGAAATGGCAAAAATGGTTAGTGATAGGACTTTGAAAGAGGTTAGAGTCAGTGATGGTAGCAATCAAACCGAGGAGGTGATTTCGCTCTTGTGCTGTGCGAGGAAGTAGAGATGAGTGAAATGCTCTCGGTAATGAACTTGGTACTCCAACTTTATCCTTATGATTCACGCGGGGTGAGATGTAAACGGGGTGAGCTATCATATAATCGTGCAAAATGGGATTCTAAAAATTAATTTGATGAAATGCACGCAGAGCTGAAATTTTAGAGCGCATAATGAGAGAGAGAGAGAGAGAGAGAGAGAGAGAGAGATTGTAAATATAAGCGAATTTTGATTGATGTGACAATTGCAGTGCGTTGATAGTTCGATGGAATGACACGAGCTGATTGGTTTAGTATCGGCTCTAATCCAGGGACGAGGGTGTCCTGACCGGGATCCCAGATGGAAGCCGCATATTTAGATTTAGCCTGAATAATCTTTTGTCGAAAACCAACTTAAATAAAACGGGTGGCAATGAGAAATGACGCTTTAGACAGCCCAACATGCAGTTAGCACAAAAAGTCACATACTGGATGTCGGGTTTATATGAAAGATCAGAAGTTACTTAAACACAAAGATATTTTGAGATGATACTTGTTCCATAGAGTTTCCATCCAGATGGCAACACGGGCTTTTATTTCATATTCAGGACACTCTCGTGAGTTTACATTTATTAATACTTCATTCGCTACAAGCATAGAGCTACTATAATGTACGCTAGAGGTTCAACTGGCATTAGTGTCTATGCGACTTCCGGGAGGCAAATTGAAGCAGACAGCAACCAGTCTACTTTTGCGGTGCTTCTGTGCATTCCTATGGGAAAACGCGCGTGCATTTTGTCTCTTCGCCGGAAAATAACACAGAACACTTTAGTTATTTGGGTCGTACCGAACAATTACTAAAACAATTACACTGTAAAAGTGTAATTGTTTTAGTAAGCGCATTTTTCATCATCAGTGAAAGATATTTAACTTAGCTACATTTCAGTCCCAAACGTGTGTTCCGCAGCAGGTTTGTAAAAACAAGCGACGATTGAAAGCAAAATTACAATCGAAACGAATATAGAGTGTGTTGAAGGCTCGCCAGCATTCTGATGACGCTTGTATATTGATAATAAGCCAGTCCTGTCACTATATGAAAATGTTCCCGTCGTGCATGAGTGGATAAAAACCTTCAAAACGTAGAGAATAAAGTCCGTAGGCTATGAAAGGTGTCTCTTCGTATTGTTTTCTTTGCCGGCCAGCTTTTATCGCGTACTTGTTCTCAAAGATATCGAGCGCGCGAGTGATATTTTGAACGTAGAACAAGCAGCTTCGCTCAGGGCAGAAAGAATAAAGCGGTACTTACTTATTTAATATCGGAGTAGATTACGTGGCCTTCAATTTATTTTGATCGTCTGCGAGTTACTGATCCAGTGTTACTGCGTAGTTC